TCTTGGATCTGAAATTCTACCCAGCTGCTCCAGGACCAGAGAAACCACTGCAAACTCTTAGCTGCYAGAAGGAGATCCAGCAGGAGATTTTTGAGACTGGAGAGCAGAGGAGCAGAGGACAGTGTCAGACAGTGGGGAGGGACAGCAGCATTCGGGTGTCACTCTGCCTTGCCTCCTTTGCTGCATTTCAAACCAGACTTGCAGCAAGGAAAGAAGCAGCAGCTTGCAAACTGACATTTCAGTGGCAATTGCCAGGAGACAGCAAACATATGGCAGTGACTCCTCGCATGCAGGGAGCTGCAGCAGCCCAGGCACCGAGCAGCTGCAGATGCTGGGAACTGCTGATCTGCACTTGGGAAGGGTGAACCAGTGAGTGGAGTGCATTTCATGCCTTGACTCTTCTTAGAAGCTACAAAGACAATRAACTCACGTATTATGTCCTTATTTCGAGCAGAAAGCAAGATTTTCATCCTCATTAAAATAATAAATGCAACACAAACACAGGCCAAAACCCCACCTCCTSAAACGTTCTGAATTAGTACTTCAGCCTTCACTTTTTTCTTCTCCTGAGTTAGTAGTGGCTGATATTAAGACCACTGAGGCCCTGATTAGTGAGAAGGTATCTTAGCTCAAGTTTTCAAAGATGTTTTTAGCAGAATCCAACAGGGACCAAGTGATTTCCTCATGATTAGCACTGCTTTATGATGGTAAACTTAATAATTAAAGGCGGTCTCATTTTCCCCTTTTGGGACTTCTTGGCCCTTCTGATGCACTGTTTGAAGACTTTGTGACTAAGCATTAGTGTCGTGTTGTGCCTTTGTACATGAAAGTGAAATGAACACTAAAAAAAAGCTGTTCCTGTGGACTCACAGCTCAGTAACCGTATGCTTCTATTCCACTGGCAGTTGCCATTTAAATGTCAGTTTACAAGCAGATGCCGAGAGCCCGCCTTTGTGTCATTAACTGGATCACAGAGAAGCAGTTCTGAGGTCTAACCCTGCTTTGGGCTGGCTGGGACAGAGCAGCAGCAGAGTGTGGCACAGCTTGGCCCAGCAGGATTGGGGTTAAGGGCACAGACCAAGGGTTGTGCACCTGAGGTCACCAACAGCCCCAGCTAAGGGGCTGTGGCAGCCAAAGGAAACCTGTTCTTGGCACTGTCTGGTGGCAGTGATGATCTTGTTGATGATTTCAGGCTTTTTGGGATGGCTGGCAGTGGCCAGGATAGAGGCAAAACATTGGGTTATAAAAGGAGACAGATTTAAGTGCTCAGGTGCAGATAAAAAAAAAAAAAGACAAAAATCAATTCAACAGAAGAACAAGGGGAAGGGTGGAGAAGGAAGCTCTCTGCACTCTACCAGACATCTGCATGTATTTAAAATCCTTCCCAATAAAGTTTATAATGAATTTAATTCAGTCCCCTATGGCCCAGAGGAATGTTCTGAGTAATAAAAAAGTATTGCTAAGGGACAAATGACTGCCAAACTCCTATCCTCTGCCAGCAATGAATATTTATACTGTTGGCACTTAAGTGCGAGGTTTATTCTGCTACATAAATGATCCTTTGTCACATATTAAGAATTAATACTGTGAGATTGACTTTTGAGMAGTTAGAATAATGATCCCCAAATTTAAAGTGTTGTTGAATTTGTATGCTTTATTAGTAAAGAGGTTTGAGCTGGGTTTTTTTTTTTCAGATTAAAATAATAGTTGAATGTGGTAATTCCTATTTTGGGGTAAACTGTTTTGTAGCTGGYTTATGGTTTAGCTTTTTAATGCCATTTTAGTCAAGGATCTTTTCCTTTCTTTGTTTTGTTTTTAACCTTGGAATATCTAAATTGATGTTAAATGAATTCCAAGCTCCTGCCCTTACTTAAAGGTTGAGATGTACTCACTTATAGAAGATAGCACAAGGGCTTCTGCTGGCATTTTCTAATGCACTTTGGATGATTAAACCGGAACATTTCAAATGTGAGCTGGAAATCTCAAGCACCAATGATGGAGGTTGCAGAACCACAGCATTACTTTGTTTATAAACATCCTTATTCCATGCAAGAGAAATCTCTGCTCAGTGTCACTTCAGTGCAGCGGTCAGGAAAACAGGGGGTGCAAAAACAGAGCTACTGATTTTTTTCACTTTAATCAGGAGTTGGATAGGAGCTGAAATGTGAAGAGTGATTTCTATCAGGCAGCGAGCTCAAGGAAAAATACATCAGTGCTGGTGCAAGAGGCACTGTGGTTTAGMTTCAGTCTGGTAAAGGCTGTTTGAGCACCTCTTGGCACGTCACAGCTCAACACAAACTCCTCGAGTGTCCAACTCTGAACTGACAGCAGCAGTGCTGAGCATTGAGGCTCCTCTGCTGTGCTTCCGTTTGCTCCGTGCTGCCGTGCCAAGTGGGAAAGTTGGAAAAAATATTGTGAGTCTGTCAGCATGTTTATTTGCATGGTGCATCTCCTTTGAGTCAACAAGCATCTTTCCAAAGTGTAAAAATGAACAATTAGTCATCTCCAGAAAACAACAGTTTCACAGACGTCTCCTCCCACCCCCCAAAAGACAAACCTCACTGCGCCGCACCAGGGCACGAGCAGCTCATTTTTCACTCTCTGTACACACTACCAAATATTCAGTTTTCCAGAATAAAAGTGTCCAAAGAACATAAGGGGGTATCTTAAGTGCTTGGCAGTTTGAATTAAAAAGAAAGGTCAATGCCAAGGAATTCAGATAGAATCAAAAAAGTATCTGACATCTCAGAGCTCTGCAATTGGGCTTTAAAAYTGAATGCATGCATTGTTTGCTCACAGTTTTTCACAGCAGCATTCATAATTTACGAAACTATTAATCAGTGTGATGAAGAGTCCCGTTTCTAACCAAGAACAAAAAAAAAAAATGCAACAATACAACTTATTTTCTTTTCACTTGAAAGAGGTCTTCTGGTAAAATTTGACAAGAATTCCACTGATTTGGGCTTCTGAACTTGGCGTTGAAGTTGCACCAGAGAAAAAGCCCCAATGATGCAACAGAATCCTTGCACTGCCTTTTTGTAAGGCTCATCACAAGTCATTGGCCAGGGGGCCTTATTTTCTTTTGGCCCATGCCAGCACTGCTACCCCATATTTGTTATGCTAACAGCAGGAAAAAAAGCACTGAAAGCCACAAAACCCTGCAGGATTATTACAAAATTCAAATCAACTTTTGACAGAGGCCTGGCAGGTACTGAAAGTGAGGCAAAGTGCCAGGGAAAAGCAGGGCAGCAAAGGGGCAGGGAGGGCACTGTGGGATGAGAGCAGACAGTGGCTGAGYTGGGGTGGGAAAGAACTGAAAATGGCCAAGATAATGCATTAATTCCTGGTCTCCAACAGCCCTCAAGGGCTTTAAATCCAGTGTTGTAGGTTTAAGACAGCTGCTTCCCCACCCCAGCAAAGTTATCGTGACATGAAGTGATTACAGAAGCAAGGGATCCAAAGGACAGCTTTTATTTGGTAGCTCGTTCAGGAAGATAATAAATTTGATGAAGTAATTATCCCTTTCATGAAAAAAAAGAAAAAAATTTAAAAAAGGCATTTCATACCTTGTCTTTACTTGGGGGTACCGGTGAAGAGAACTTGGACATACCCAGGTGGAGCTCTGGCAGTTCCAAAGTCATGAAAAATCTTTCTTCTATTTTCTGGCTCCCTCCCCTGCTTACACTCATGTCTTCCCGCGAGTGAAGTACCATTTTCCTGGCTTCAGAAACGCGTGTGAGCTATTTCAGAAAGGCATTGCTGCAGACCTGCTCGGTGGGGGCAGCCTGGCTCTGTCTAGAGGGGCAAGGATTAAACAGCTGCCGTGCTGCTGCCGAGAGCAGAGGTCAGGCACTGAGCAAGGTGAACAACACAGAGCGAGAGCTGCCCTGCCAGGACAAATTCTGCTCCTCCAAGGCTCGAGTGAGGCACGGTCACTGCAGAAAGAGAAGCGGAGAGGGGACAGGAAAAGTGCGSTGTGCCAGCGCTGCTCGGGGGTGCAGGAGGGACTCTGCGTACCGGGGATGTCACACGAGGGGCCGGGATGGATGTGCAGCACTGACACGCAGGAGGAGCAGCAGAGGATGCCTGAGGAGCAGGCTGTGTGCTCCTGCTCCATCTCCTCCTCTGGAACAGCCAGCTCCAGTCCCCAACACGTTCCTGCAGGGCTCTCCTGCTCTGGCATCACCCTGCAGAACGCGCTCCACACAGGCGGGATTTTCACACATCCAACACTTCAGCCACCCCTTTTTAATGCCGTTAGTGATGCAGCGACATGTATTTATATTTACATATAAATACAAAATGGTCAGATACCACGGTTTTTTAAAGCATAATTTACAATCTGAAACTGCTTACACTTTCAGGACTAGGCTTGGGTTTTTCTYGTTTACATTCATAATTTAATTCCACTGGAATTTGGTTTTTAAGAAAGCCCAACACGTCTTAATTACCATAAAAAGATCCATACACATTTTACTTAAAAATAGCTTCTGTAAGAGGAAATCTACCAAAAATAACACGAAATATATTATTATGCATACATTTTCTTTTTTTTCTTTTTGTAAAGTACAAACAAACAAGAATCTGATCTCTTCKGGGTATTGCCTGATCTAATATGGCTATAGGTTCTATTTATTTTGTTTGTTTTTCAAAGTAAAGGGAAAGACGGAAGAAATGTAAGAGCCAAAATAAAAGTGCATTATTTTTTCCAAAGAGACAGATGATCAGAGAAAGAACACCTGGAAAACWAATAAATGACAACAGGTACAAAGAAACACCATCCGAGCACTATGCGGTGTTTTGTCTGAGCATGTGCTGCAATGACCTTGTAACAGTTATTAAAAACAACAAACAAAAAAAAATGCCACCGGCAGAAAAAGCTGTCAAGCAAAACACTGAGAAATTGGTACCATTTCCTAACAAGTAAGTGCAGAACTGACAGTATTTTATGTGTCTTGYCCCACGTACGCAGACCTCTCTGTTGCTCTTTCTGCCCGCAGGGCTGATCATCGCCACTCTGGCCGTTTGCTGGATGCCCAACCAGGTGCAGAGGATCATGGCTGCTGCCAAACCCAAGCAGGACTGGACCGTGCCCTACTTCAAAGCCTACATCACCCTCCTTCCCATCGCCGACATCTTCTTCTACCTCAGCTCGGTGGTGAACCCGCTGCTGTACAACATCTCCTCTCAGCAGTTCCGCCGCGTGTTCCTGCAGGTGCTGCGCTGCCGCCTCTCGCTGCAGCACGCCAACAGGGAGAGGTTCCTCCGCAACAACCAGAGCTCCGCGGCCAGGAGCACCCGCTCCCTGCGCCCGCTGCTCTTCATGTCCTCCAGGCGCGGTTCTTCCRCCAAGGGCAACGCCAAAGTTCTCCTGAGCACCTTCCAGAAGGAGCCCACGCCCGGCTGCAGCACACAGGAACCGGGTCCTGCASCACCAGATCCCAGCCTGGATTCAGTGCCCGTCGAGAATGGCTCAGAGCCCCATCCCGTCGCACAGAACGGCCTTTGTGAACATCAAGTATGACTTGGTAAGGCAAAGTTAATGCTTAGCAAGGAGCTCAAAAATGTGGAAATCAAAATGACCGAGGAAAGTGACTGCATCGCAAAAGGAGTAACACAGATGGACTCGTTTCCAGTTATGCAAAAAGAACAGGAGTTCTGTATCCTGCTGGGATTTTTAAGTGCACACTGGAAATTCAATCTGCTAGCTGAACTCATTAGCTGACAAAAATATCAGCCGCTCTTCTCCACACGATGACTGAACTTCCCTCGCTGTTGACAGGGATTTGGAAACAAACAGAAAATAATTGCAGCGTCTTTGAAGAAAGGATGATGCAGGACAAATTGTGTCAGGGCGAAAAAAAAAACAAACCAAAAAAAACCAACCCGACAGCAAACTTGCTTGAAGTTTAGCAATACAAAAACAACAGAGCGAATTTAAGAAGCAGAAGAGTGGTTATCACGTGTGGCCTGGGCACCACACCAGAATTSCCCCTCTTCTTGGGCCGGGGTCCGTTGCAGAGCGGAGTGTTGCAGCAGCTGATGCAGACTGAGTTCACCTTGCCCGGMGAGCAGAAGGACTGGTAGCCAGCAGAGGCGATCAGACACGCKGCCGACGAGGCGCACGACTTGCGGTACATGATCCCTGTGACACACAACAAGGGTTAGTCCATCTGAAGGAAACATTTTACAGCAACATTCACGCTCCTAAACCCCGTTTGCATCCCCAGAGTGATGCTGGTGCTCAGAGCAGACCCCTCAGCAGGGACAGGACACACAGCCCTGCACTGCAGGAGCACCACYGTCACTCTGCTTCGGATTTCTCTCCAGTTTGATTCTGGTTGGAACCAAAAATATTACAGACGTCATTTGCATAATGTATATCAAATGATGCATTTTATAACTGGAATTCTTCATCTTTCAGAATAAAMTGTTTGAATAGTTATAACTGAAATGCAATTAGTGAGAAAATTAGTTTTGTTTCTATTGCTGAACATGTCTGAGTTCAGGTGTCTAAGTAATTACAGCTTTCCATGCCCCTAATTTGTCTTTTGAGAATTTTTTTTTTGTTTTCTTGTTCCTTTGCCACACACAGACAAGTAACCAAGAGTAAAAAGAGGATGATTATGAGCAAAACTTTCATCCTCCTCCCTCCCCTTTTTTTTAAAGAAGAACTAGAAGTACTTTTACAGGTAATCTCAGTTCTTGCTCATCTTTGATGCTTAATACCCTCAATAACAAAAATTTCCATTTCTATAGAAGTGTCTTTCTTAAGTTGAAAGTCTTCCCTTTTTGACTGTAATTTAAATTAACTTTAATTAATAAGCTAATTTATAATTTCTCAAATTGTTTTTAACCGAAAAAAGAACATTCTGATGCACATAGCTATTATTTTAACATGGATTATAAAGGCTTTAAAATACACAGTCGTATTTTCTTCTGTCACACTGGAAAATGGTTATGGAGTTCCTCCTTCCATTACTCCAGAACTTACCTGCAGGTGATACAGTAGAAATTGTGTCTTAGAAAAACATACACACAATAGAAATAGATAATGGAGGTTTGCTTGTAGTTACAAAAAGTGGTAGGGATATTCCTAAGGATGATAAAATCACTTTCCCTTTTGAACATGGGATTTTCAGGAAGTTTTGGGATTTCTTTTTTTTCCCTCCTGAAAGCAAGGGAACAGGTTTCCCTTGGAGAATGGTGCCTCTGCATCCTGTGGCATGGTCCCAGAATGTTTTGGAATGCACAGTGGATGAGACTTTTTTTGGAGGGAGGTGGGAATACGACCCACAGCTACTGGATGTGCGGGACCTGCAGATACTTGTTCAGTCCCCAGGCACTTAATAACCACTACAGCACCTCCATGGTCCAGGAGRAACCTCTGGAAAATGGCATCAGCCACTGCACCTCTGAGTGCTGTGAGAGCAGCAGAACACCCTTTGTTTGGGCTGYGCTCAGAAAGAAGGATTTCCTGTCTTCAGAGACTTTTAATTAAAGCAATTCTTTCATACTGTCACAACACTGCTGCCATCCCAACAATGCAGGGGTTTCCTTGTTCTGTGYTCTCCCTCTGCAAATCTCAACTCTGAAGCATGTTTTTAGGCTATCTATCTCGTTAAACTTATGAAAAGAAGCCCTCAAGTGAGTGGTAAATCTTCCTCTGTCTCCAGTGATTTTCAATCAATCAACACAGCAGGCAGAGCCTTTTCTCAGGAAGGAAGAGGAGCTGTGGGCTGTTCTCTCTGTAACAGCAATGGCACACAGATCAAGCAACASAATCTTTATCACCACAGTTTGCAAAAAGAAGGGATCTCTGTCTCTGCTGACAAACCACCGCTGTCAAGGAGCCTCAGTGGTGCTGCCACTGATCGGCTTTACAATACCCAAATCTCAGCTGATATTCCCCAAATAGACCTGGAGCTTTGTCCATGTTCCTCATGCAGTCTTCCCAGAGCAGTATGACCCTTCCCACAGCTATAATTAATGTTTTTCCTTCCCCTTCCCACTTGAGAAAGGACTCCTGTATTCAATTAGACCAGGCACAGTGACTGTTCTCTGCTCCCCAATCCCATATCTCCCCATCATGTGTTATTTCTCTGAGCTACAAACACCCACCAAACTCAGCCATTCCCCATGAACAGCAGTGAATTTGACTTTCCCATCTAAGATCAACCCTCTAAAAAGCTTTTGACCCTGGCAAACTTCCTATTCCCATTATTTTCTAGACTGCTCTCTTCCTGCCGTTTCCTTTTCACAGGTTTTCTGCAAAGCCCTGCTCACAATTTGAACCAGTGATTTATTAGTTTGGGACCCTGAAATATCGCAATTTCCACTTCTAACATAGATTAGGAGACTGGAATTGTTCAGTGCTGTGAACAATTAGGTGATGCCCTCTGAAGCATGATTTTCACCAGGCAACTCTAGGAAACCTCTGCTGCAAAATAAYCAGAGTCCTGCAGCTTAACTCCATGTGTTTACAACAGCTCTGTTCTCCAGGATCAATTCCACAGAACAATCCTTAGCACCTTTTGAAATCAAAACACAGTATTGCTGCACAGTGACTGAAGTTTCACTATTCAAACTGTCATGAACAGATGGACCATGTTCATACCTAACCAGGGAGAATAATCTGACTTGTGGCAAAGCCCCTCTGTAAAGCTTCTCCAGTGGCTTTTCTGTAAATGTCTTACAAGAAATTCCATGCCCAAATGATTGTTTATTCCCATTGCCTGCTATTGTAATCTAAATTGTTACAAGATTTTTTTTACCTTAAAGAAGTCAGCATTTCCATCAGGTTTTTAATGGCTCCTTGGCTAATGATAAATTTCTTTTCCTTTAAGTACAATAGATGCTCTTGATCTCACAAACCAGCTGCTATCCCACTAAATGCTTTTTACAAAGCATCAGGYATGAACCAAACTTGAGCAGCACAGAAAGGCTGTGCTCTCTCTGTAGCTCTGAGGTCCTGACAGGAAAACACAATGCMAACAGGAACAGAAGCTGGAAAAAGAGGGAGTTTTAGCACCACAGSAGTGACATTTTTAAAACACCTGCGCCGTGACTTCACTTACTCTTAAAGCTTCTTCCTATCACAATTGTGGTAGGAAATAAAATAATACAACTGACTTCCATAATTTGATGGCAGGGACACCATCTCCTCACTCCAGGAAACAGGAAAATGGGCCCCAGGAAGCACAGCTCACCCCTGGATTACATCCATGGATCTCTCCTCAAACTCCTCCACTGCAGCACTGCTGAGCCAGTTCCAGAATGATTCCCGAGATCTCCCTGAATGATTTGCCACCAGCAGGCTGAGCTGCAGACAGCTCTTCAAAGTGGTTATCTGCCTCATAAGACTCATACCACAGACATAACTGCTAATTACTGGGTATTCTTGCCTGAGCAATCAGCTTGATACATTCATTAACATATCACCCAGAAAAATAATTGCAAACCTTTCTGGAAGCTTTGCTCCTGCCTCACATTGTTCTGTGTCGCTGGTTAGGCAAGGAGACAACACATTTTATTYACACTCGACTTTTACTGGGATGGGKTCATTCCCAGYTACCCTCYCTCAACAACYGACACCARTGATCAATYTGCATATTTAYCACTGCTCAATTAGTGTATTTACTGCCCAATTACYTGATGGATGAGTGCAGAGTAATTGGTCTTTTTTCACGGATTCAGCAGACCCCCAGCAGCAGTTTGGGTACTATAAAATGTTTTACTGTGAAGCACCTACTACTGATCAGATCATTTTCTTTCATTTTGGTTTCAAGGTTTGAGGGATGCAGTTCAAATCTTTCAAAAAGAGAGGGGAGTATGAATAAGAGATATTTGCATGTGTGATAACATGCTAATATCCCACACCCTCTCCTGTCACATATATCTRCTACAACTATGTTTGTTTTCAGGGTTTTTTAAAGCAGATTTGGGCTTAAATTTGGCATCAAAATTTTATTCCTAGACTAAGCAACCTGCACATTGTTAAACCTCTCTCTGCCCCACAGCTCATCRTATATTTAGACAGTGCCAAGGCCCAAACTACTATTTCTGCCTTATTCCTTGTGATGAAGGAATGGGTGTAAATCTTAAACCTTTTCTATAGTTCCTGTTTGCAATATTTATTTTCTCACCTAGATCCACTCTAGTCCTGTGTATCTGCACCCTGGTATTGTCTTGGCCACATGCAGGTGTACTCTGCCTTGACTGCAACAAACAATTCAAGCAACAATTTATTCAAACCCAAAAGTGTTCTTCTCTCTTCCCTGTCTGCACAGCCCAGTGCATTTCTCTGGAATAACAGCTTAACTTGTTATTGTTACTAGGACAACCAAAAAAGGTGACATCACACCTACTTCTTGCACTGTGTTTATGCAGAAGGCACCAGAAGTTCCAAGGTTTTTCTCTTACTGATTGAAAAGGATCTCAGCAGACACCTCTGATTCTTCTGTTCCAGGAGGCACACACAAAAGATGCTGTGTAAGCATGACTCTCCAACTTTTAAGAGCCAACCACAATCCAAGCAGTGTGCAACATCAGTTTGCACCTGTACTCTCTCAAGGGTGTCCTTCAGCAAAATTCACAGAGGGTCTCTGAAGCCAAAATAGGCAACSAGGATATCACCCCCGAGATCAGTGACCTCATTTCTAAAAAAAGTCACCTTGCAATGACCCAGCTACTCTGAAACTGCTGTCWGCAATGGCACAGCTCAGCAGGAATCCACAGCCCTCTCCTTCATTCCAGGACCTCAAAACTCTCCCCTCTTAGTCAAGTGGACACTTGCTTTGACCAGGACTAAGTTTTCCATGCTCTCTCATCTCGTGGGCTGTGACTGACACTCGACTTTTTTTAAAGAAAGCTTTTTCTACACCATTTTGCCCATAACCAATTTCGCAGGCACAAAGTCAATCTTGTGCAGTCCATTCCACAAACAGCACTTTAGTGACATCCCCTGCACATGCTCAGAGTAAACCTGCTCCATAAATCTCCTGGAGCACAGAAGGTAATCTGTGTCCAACTAGGGCCCAGCAACAAAGCATCCTTGAGCCTTTTCAAGACTGGACCAGGGGCTGGAGGAAAATGAGGAGCTGTAGAAAAGTTTTGAATCTTAAAGTAAATAACTGAGAAAGGCAG